ATTATTATTATTATTATTATTATTATTATTATTATTATTATTATTATCATTATTATTATTATTATCATTATTATCATTATCATTATTATCATTATTATCATTATCATTATTATCATTATCAGGCAAACACATATTGTTTATCTTTATTTTTAAAATAAATATTAAAGGATTATATTTGAAATAATTGAAATCAAACAAAAAGATGTTTCGATTGAGATTAATGAATTAATGTGTTTGTTTCTCTCCTTACTGAAAATTTGGAATGGAAAAGGTAATAATAGAATTAAGTATGCATATATGAATGTATAATTGCTGTCATATTTGTATGTAAAGGTGATGACCCGGAAATATGTTGTCCACTAAAAAGAGATTTTTGTTTTTATGTGAAAAACTGAATAAAATTTGTTTAAAAAAAAAAAGATTTGGCTTGTCTTTGGTTATTCTTGGGAACAGATCTTTGGAAATTGGACGGATCTTTGAAAATTGAAAATATTTAGTGCACATGTATAAACACTGCATGTTAGAAACAACTAGGGAGTTTTGCAGCAGATAGAATACATGCCAATCATGCTTCTTATTTCCCAACATGAACCTATTTGTCTTTGAACTTTCCTTTCCAGACTGTTCCAGTCCAAATAAGTACACTGTATTTTCTAAACAGGATTTGTTTTCAAATTCTTTATCCTCCGCTGCCATCATTTATTTCCCTTGCTTTCTCCCTCATACTTATCCAGGTACAATTGTAACTAGATTTACATTATGACAATATGCATAGGGTTGTTTTATATTCCTTTCTTAATCATCATCACCAAAATAAATGTTGACTTTTTCATGGTGACCACACTCCTGTGGTCAATAGATATATCTATTGATTACAATTCCAGTATCTTGTTCTTAATCAATCATTCTCATATAATTTAAAAGGCTGAAGTCATCAGTATAAAAGTAATCTGAAAACATGTTAGAAATATTCAGAAAACTACTTCAGATAGGATTGAGAAGTGCTATTCTTTAATGAGGGAAAATGAATTGCAAAGAGAGGCAATTGCACCAAGGATCTTATATCTTATTTTATAGCGATTGTCATATATTTAAACCCTTTTTATTGAAGTTTTTGACTCAGTACTTCTTCTATAAGATTTCAATTAGCAGTAGAAACTTTGTACCCAGTCAGATAGCAATAGCAATAAGATTTATATACCTCTTCATAGTGCTTTATAACCCTCTCTAAGCAGTTTATACAATCAGCCTATTGCCCCCAACAACCTGGCTCCTCATTTTAACGACCTCGGAAGGATGGAAGGATGAGTCAACCTTGCACCAGTCAGAATCAAACTCCTGGCAGTGAATAGTGAATTAGCCTGCAATACTGCATTCTAACCACTATGCCACCACGGCTCCAGATATTCTTTATAGATATAAGATATCTAAGGAGTTGGTATTCTTAGCTCCTTAGCAAGTCCACCCACTTGCTCCAGCAGTAGAGGCCTACTTTAGGCCCTGTCTGCTAAAGAATTTTGGGTGGTAGGCCTTTTCTGCTGTAGCCACCATCTATCTCCCACTGGAAGTAAGATCCACTCTGACACTCCTGGCCTTCTAGAAGAACTTGAAAACTGCTGGCTGGCCTGAGACCCCACTAGGGGCATGCCACCTTGGGGGTGGCCATTGGGGCAGAGAATCTCTGCCCCCATGGTACCCACCCTCTTCTCTTTTTTAGCTTTCTATTTAATTTTACTAATTTTAATTGCTTTGTGTTACCTTTATTTTTTATTATTATATTTTAAGCTGCCTAGAATCATCATATCAGTGATGAGATGGGTGGGCATAAAAATTAATAAATAAATAAATTTATTAACTAAAAAGTAACATGGACATAAAAGTTAAGCAAGTTATAATGCTAGTCTGGATCCCCAGTATTATAATTATATTTGTCATGATAATTGCCACTCTGTGAGGTGAGTAGGGCTGAGAGGGAGGGACTGAGGCAAGTTATTATACTGTCACGTAGGCATGACACATCTGGGTGACATGCATACTATTATGGCAACATCTATAAATAGATAATGCCCAAAAATTTAATTGTAATTTTCAGCTCTGCATATTGCATTTCCTCTATTACAATCAAAAAAATCTATCTTGGAAAATGCTAATGAATACTGATTGCTTAATCTTATCATTTTTGCCTTATTTACATATGGGACAAAATGTTATTGTATTTAACAAATTATCTGATTTTATATTCAATCTTTTTCAGGAGCAACACAATCTTTTCAATTAGTTCTGAAGCAGAAGTACTGGAGAACAAGCCTCTTTTGTTACCGGCTAACCTAGAATTGAAATGATGGAGGATGACAACATATTCAGTAAAGATACTGAATAAAACAAAGAACGTTTTATCAGAGTCTTACTTAGGTTAAAATGCTTCTTAGAGCTTTGGTTTCATTAAAGTTATTTGAATTTGGGGTGGTGGTGAATAAATATTTCTGAGTTGCAACATCTTAAAATGAAAGTCAACATTAAAACTTTAGATAATAAATATATTGTGGAAAATGTTTTATTGATGTTACTCACTGAATAGTTTGTTCTTTAACAATGTAAATCAGAGGTCTCCAAGCTATGCTGGTTGGAGAATTCTAGGAGTTGAAGTCCACAAGTCTTAAAGTTGCCAAGTTTGGGGACCCCTGATATAAATAGTATATTTCATGCTTGCTTTTGTAATGGAGCCTGGAAATATCTATCACAAACAAGTAGCTCCAGAAAACTTTACTGGATTGCTAGAAAGGCCTCTTCCTTTCCCCTATTTTAAAAGGAAAATGGTTCACTTCTGAGGGAGGGTTTTGTGAGACCTTTAGTGACATAGACACGACACTGAGAGCCCTTGATTCTGTACAGTTTTTTTTTAATTCCAGTATAAAGTTGGTTCATGTTCTTTTCATGTAAATGGCACAAATCTCCCTTCCTGTGTCACAAAAGAAACATGCCACAACACAGAATGCTGATTCAGCTAGTCACATAAACACATCAAGATCAGTGGTGGTATGCTACCGTTTTGGACTGGTTTGGCTGATCCGGTAGTAAAAAAAAAAAGCTGACAATCAGCTGAGAGGAGGAAAAAAATCCTCCCAATCAGCTGAGAGGAAAACGAAGAGAAAAGTGCAGGATTGGCCCCTCCCACAGGCCCCTGCACTTTTCTCTTCTTTATCCTTTCAGCTGATTGGCGCTGCAGGTCTCAGCTGCGGGTCGGCGTTAGGCAAAGCATGCCCACCAAGTCACATCCACCAAGCCAAGCCCACCGAACCAGCGGTAAAACAATTTGAATCCCACCACTGATCAAGATGTATTTCCTGGATTAATATACTAAGGTTTTGTGGATCAATTGTAAAAAGCAGAAAGAAGTCAAAACTAAAGCAATTTATATAATATTTGGAACTGAAATTAGTGGAGAAATTCATCCCATTTCGGAAATGATAATTCAGAATTCTAAAATCTTGGAGAAAACCCAGAAAACAAACCAAAATGTATGGGGGGGGGGAAACAATGCTAAAGCAGGAAGGAGGAAAGCAATGATGCTGACCAAAGTTGGGAAACAGTTTTACAACACAGCAATTTTCAAAAACTACTGTAATGGAAGCACTGCATTCAAATACTACTTTTGTTTGAAAATCAAAACAAGAGAATATCCGTGCAGGTCTAATGGCATTTAAAAAAAGTATCATCGGATAATCATATACAAGCATTGACTTATGGATATACAGATTCTTGCCATATTAAACAAACAGAAAAGCAATATACTTGAGGTCAGAGATGAGACACCCTACAACATCACAGCTGGCATTTTCCAACAGTGATTGCAAACTTTGTTGATTTGCTTTCCATCCTTCTAATTGAAATAAAAATAAAGAGAATTCTGATGATGTCTGCATTTTTTTAAAAAAAGTTGAAGATGCAGCAAAGGCATTATAGGAGAAGCATAAACTTTTAGAGAATGAAATCTTTGTAAGCCATGGATGGAAAGAAAGAGAGAGATCAGGATGACAATAATGATAGAGACAGACAGACAGACAGACAGACAGACAGACAGACAGACATAGATGATATTAGATAGTCAAATGATAAGCAGATCATGGAATATAAACATATTTTCATCAAAATGTTAAATAGAACAGAACAGAATAACAGAGTTGAAAGGGACCTTGGAGGTCTTCTAGTCCAACCCCCTGCTCAGGCAGGAAATCCTATTATAGCGCAAACTTTTTCCATATGTGCATATGATGCACATATATGACTTGTATATAAAAGGAATGGAATTTGCATCATGACACCACAATGCTGTTTCATCCTTTGTCACCCACCCACCCAAAAAATTGGCTTTCTCTGTGGATGGAAGGGAGGGAAGGAGGGAGGGAGGAAGGAAGGAAGGAAGGAAGGAAGATGATAGATTGATGATAGATAGATAGATAGATAGATAGATAGATAGATAGATAGATAGAGATAGATAGATAGATAGATAGATAGATAGATAGATAGATAGATAGA